GTGGCTTGGTAATGCTTTGGGAGTTCATTGAATCCAAGTTTCGTAAAGAAATAAAAGATGAGTGTGAAAGGATCAAACTTCCTGCTCCGATACCAATTGAAAGTCGGTTTACACCCTAAGAGGGGGGTGAATTAGGGTGTTTGCAAGTTTTTCTTAAATAACAAAAACTTATGCGCAAAGTAGTAGTGGAAAATGAGCAAGAAAAGTATAAAAGATAAAAATACGACACAAGCGATTTTATACTGGTTTGGGAACTCCCTACTCCAGTACCTCGAGGCTCCTCCTCAAGGATTTAACCTCCACTAACTTGTTTGGCTTCACTAAGAAGACTCAAACGAGGTTTGGCAAACAACTCTTGCCAATAAGCAAATGAGATTTTACTACGGCTATCTCAACCGTTTACAACCGAAGATTTTAAGGCTATCTTCAACCTTACAATGAGGATTTAAAGGCTATCCACACCTTTTACAATTCAATAAAATCTTGGTGTTGCTTCTCTACCAAAATAATAACAAATATGAATTGGGTAGGAGAAGAACAAAAGATTAAATCAACAACAACAAAAGCCTATAGGCAAGATATAAAATAATGAAGCACAAATGCCCTTGTGTGTGAGTGTATGAAAAATAATGAATGCTTTATACTCAAAAGAGTAAGAAAAATAAGAACAAAGCTTTAATGAACACTCAAGAATAGAGAAAGAGGCTTTAGATTTAATTGGGAAGTTGTTGTACATAAAATGAGACTTAGAGGGGGTTTATATATGAGTTTGAATTGTTAAAATTTGAGTTTTTAACGTTAAATGCCGTTAGGAAGTGATTAGGGGTGATTTGAATTTAAATTGACAATTTGCTACAGTGTTAATAACGGCTACGGTACCCTTCACGGTAGGGTCAGTACCGTCCGGTACCTAGGTACCGTGACCACAGTACAGCCTACCGTTAGGGGGTACCGTATAGGTCAAAAAGATGATTTGGCGCTGGCGGTACCTGGTTAGGACGGATTGGGCCAACCGTTCCATGCCTACCATCCGGTACCCAGGTACCGTAACACGGTAGGGGGTACCATGTTCCTCTTAAGTAAAACGTACAACGGTACGTTCACTTGGCTACCATTGTACGTTAAACGTACAATGGTAGCCAGGTACCTTTTGTTGGAACACACTTTGTACGTTAAACTAAAGTCGTGTTCATTTCTGACAGGTTTTGATAATTGCCAAACCGCCGTGGATATGAAGAAGTTTCGTTGAATAACTCAAGGCGTGAAGAATGGCTTGGAACAAGACCTAAAAGACTCAAGGACAAGATCAAGAATTGAAGACTTAGTCGAGTCGGTCTTTTGTGATCAAAACCGA